ACCAAACCAATTCTTTTCCTCAGAAATACATTCATCTTTTGAAAGCAGCGTGCAACAACAAATCTTACTAACTACATGAAGTTGTTTTTTGACCACAAGGTGAATAAGTCATGTGAGGGCATAAACATGGCTTTTTTTTTTCTCGTTCAGCACACAGTCTGTTTTTATCCTCATCCCGTTGGCAGTCTTACTGGATATAGTCAGGTTAACAAACACATTGCACTGTTGAAATAGGTTATCAATGCAAACAGCATGGCCCGCTGTTAAGTGTGTGTGTGAGTGTGAGTGTGTGTGTGCGTGTGTGTATGCGTGCTTGTGCGTGTGTTTGCATATGTCTGCGTGACTTTCCAAAGCAGGGCGTGTCATTGTCACTTTCCTGCTGTTGTTTTACTGCTGTTGTTTAAGGAAATTAGTTATGAGCAACAATAAGGTGAAGTAATAGTCACACGGATGCACACACGCAGACACACACACTTCCTTCATCCACAGCACTCTAGAGTTGTGTGAGTCGTACATTTTACAGCATTAATGGCTAAAAAATGGCGATTACTTTTTTACACTTCACGTTCCTGTAATCGTGCTGAACAAATAACTTCTGATACTTGATGATTCTGTTTGAAACATTTTGGCTTATTTTGATGATGTTTATTGGTCTAGTTTTTTTAAATCAGTTAGTTAAATAGATTTTCTGCCTATCATTTAATTTATTGGCTAATTGTTTCAGCATCAGTATTATGTGCCAATGTAGAAAGAAAGTAAATCATCAGTAACATACATTATACCAAGAGTTCTTATATTTTCACCTTCACAGAAATGATAAAGCCTCAGTGGTTTTAAATGTGTTTGCAATGTAAGTATGATGAGTGAGGATCCATGGTGAGAGCATCTTCAAACTTTCAGCAGATTATTCTATCCTCGCCTTCAATCCTACTTCCCCCTGTAAATAATATGACCATCTGATAAGTGTGTCTTTCTTCTTTGGCTCTCCTCACACAGCAGAGGCATTTCCCCAAATGCACATTGCTCATCAAGCTGACCACATTTGTGAAGCGGTCACCTCAAGATAGCAGCTGCTATTGTTCCACAGAATTGGCTCTCTGTGGGTTTGTTGAACCTTTTCAAGCAGTGATGGAGTTGCAATGACAGAGACTGTAAAATGATATCCTCTCAACACTTCATGTGTTCATGGCACTTCATGGCAGATTGTCTTTTGTTGATTTTTTGCCAAATAGCAGTTATCAATCAGGACCAGCCTTTAATCAGTGTGTGGTCACATGTACTGAAACCTTTTTGAAACTGCCTTGCATTGAGTATTTTAAGGATACAGTTAAATGAGAAGCCAGTACAATATATACACTAAAAACTATGCGATTATTTTACAGTGTTATCATCTTCTACCTTATCTCTGTTGTTATTTATTTATTTCTAATCCATTTACATCGGCTCAATAAGATCAGCAGGGAGAAATCAGATTGTGTGGGGGATAAGAATAGGCTCTGTTCAATTGACACCAATATATGTGTGTGTGTGTGTGTGTGTGTGTGTGTTTATGTGTGTTTGTGTGTGTGTGTGTGTGTGTGTGTGTGTGTATTAGCACACAGCAGGATGCCATTCATATAGCTCCCCCATTATGTAGATTAGCCTTATTCCCCTGAGTGCTCCTTCACCATTTAGAGCTTTCAATCACTCTGCTGCTTTATTGGAGTGAGGACAATCACTTGCATGTTTCGGAAAGACACACACACACACACACACACACACACACACACACACACACATACTGTATATATATATTTGTACTCACTATATGTATGGACATCATATTTGCAAATTATACCACATCACAGCCAAAAACACATCCACATTGATGTACACACACACACACACACACACACACACACACACACACACACACACACACACACACACACACACACACACACACACAAAAACACAGAAACACACAGACCCACACACAAGATTACTGGCTTTATCCTCACCAGATTCCTTGTCCATGGTTTGCTAATTATGTTCCTCTGCAGGTTTTTGCAGTGAGTAAGTGTGTGTCCTTGTGTAATTGTGTGTATGCATGTGCGTGAATGTGAAAGAGCAACTCAGTGAGTTAGTGATCACAAGGTAGATTTGTGTGTTGATTGCATTTGAGCTGCAACAACAGTGACTCTTTTAATCACAAACTCTGGATCAATACTCAGCTGAGCGATGGTGCAGTAATGCTCAGATGTGTGTGTGTGTGTGTGTGTGTGTGTGTGTGTGTGTGTGTGTGTGCATTCAAAAGGTAATCTAGATCACAGAGTCCACAGCAGATGAGGAGAGACAGTCTTTGAGGAGCAGCAGCTTTGAACTAACCTATTTTCAGGTGTGTGTTTGTGCTGTGGCTTGTGTGTTTTGCCCGAATACAAGGGCTTGCTCCCCTCGCTGAGTGTTAGTGTGTGTGTGTGTGTGTATTCGTATGACACAGAACAGAATTAATAATATATTAAATTGTGTGCAGTACTGATTACCTCTGTATCTTGATGCTGTTTGCCAGCACTGGTCAGAGGAGTGTGAGCTTCTCTCATACCAGAGTAACCTCTCACCAGGTCTAAAAACAGGCAGCCTCTGGGTTAACTGGGATATTGAATCATATTGTAGCAGAGCGCTCACCTCAACCTGACTCCATGAACCGAGGATCAACCTCTGACAAGCTGCAATGTGCTGTCAACCTCTTCTTACCTCTGAAACTGTAGAGAAACATGTCTTGCTGTGATCAGCATTACTGCGCCTTCAAATATGCATAAATGCATTACTTTTGCTGAATAAACGTGACCGCGCAGTACAGTATAGATTTCCATTCAAGAGCCTTAATTAAGACCCTCATTACATGTGATTTCATGTATGAGTGCTTAAAGTTTTTGGATTTTCTGAGCACCATCATTTATTTCAGGCAATTTCAGCCTCCAGTGAGCATGTCACAACAAGCACTCCGGTTTTGATTATTTTCCCGAACAATTAACAGTATCTCTTTTTCAGTCCAGCCAATTTTCAGCCTTTGAACCGGAGAGGCTCACTTTATTTGAATTAAAAGAGCTGCTCATGTCAGCCGCATGTAATCCAGCACCATTGAATTCAGTCAATAACCTTTTTCTTTGTGATCTGCATAAACACCCATTTTGGGACTTAACTTCAAGAACACATCAAAATATAAAAAGGAATATCCCTCAAAAATGTTTCTGCTTAAGAAATATGTTCTTCTGTGAGGACGTGACATTGTGTGTGTGTAAGTGTGCAGCTGGCGAGCTTGTTTTTAGTAAATGACTCTGAGGTTCGCTGTCACATTGATGGACTACATCAGACGGTTCGATGCAACCTGTTGTACAGCTTCATGCTAAATGTTCCGTCACCGGCAATGTCACCTCAAAGAGTCAGCTGTCACATGACTCCCACAGCAGATTGAGGCTGCTGTGATGAATCTGCCACTTGATTAAATGTATAGAGCTGTGACGGTAGAGATAAATCTTTAAAATCTTTGATGTGCTATGTGTTAGGATGGCTGTATGGCTTCATTAGGTTTTAACCAGCTGCTGGTTTGCAGAATGGATTTTACAGGAACTCAGAAATTAGTAAAATCAACTAATCTGTGTGGACAAAAAAAGATTAAAAAACAGCATTTGCATAGCAACCACTCAAATTGTATCACCCTGCACTAATGAAAGCCTTATGGGATTTTTGACACATTTCTGACACTCTGAAGGGGAGAGTGAGGTGAGGGGTGTTCAGCTGCAACATGAAACTTCAACACTAGACATAACAAAATTCTACACACTGTACCTTTAATGTATAAGTAACGATTTTATAAAAACAACATAGATTCCTCTTTCTGGTACATGTATTAAAAACGACGTGACAAAATTCTTCATTAAATCCATGTGATTTTCATACCAGCAAAGCAGCAGAACATAGTTAGTAGTCGAGGCTCTGTCTTCATCACTCCACCAGATACGATTACATAGATTTGATAGGGAGGTGCAGATGCATGCTGGGGTGGTGGAGGGGTGGAATCAACTAGTGGCATTAACCAGTGTTTTCCCCAATTCCCCATAAACGATAAAGTAGATAGCCCAGCCAATGTCATGCACAAATCACTGGTTCCTCATGGGTCCTGATGGGTCCTCATGGGGCCTGATGGGTCCTCATGGTTACCGATCGGTTCATGTCGGGTATCCACACTCTACAGCACAGGCATGGACAAGCAAAGGGAGCGATGGGGAATTGATTGCAGCTTTAATAGACCACCATGGTGCGAGGGTGTGTATGGGAGAGGATTGTGGAGAATGAGGCGTGTCACATGAGCTCATGAATCGCTCCATTCATTTTAACAACACTCACCTTTGCCTCTCACAGACAACAATCATAATTTGGACAACTGGAACAGCTGTGGCTTAGGTGGTAGAACGGGTCATCGACTAAATAGAGGGTCTTGGTTTGATCCCCGGCTCCTCAGTGTAGTCCGAGGATGCTGAACCCAGAATTGCCCCTGACTGCTTTGTTGGCAGTGTGTGATAGAAAAAGCATTGAACCAATGACCAGCAACGTCTATTTTATTCTGAGGAAGGTCAGATCTTTATTTTAATTTTTTTATTCATGTATTTTTTATCTTTGGTGAAGATCGATTACAATGAATCTCAATATTATTATGATATATTTGCAGTTGGATTCAGTATTCTAGTTAACCATATGGTTAATTCCATAAATCCGCCCTGCACTGTGCACACTGACACACTGTGCACACTGACAACAGGGAAGTGGAACATGGGGAGGGTTGAGAGAGGCAGTAAGACCCAGAGGAGCAGAGAGAGAGAGACAGAGAGAGAGAGACAGAGAGAGAGAGAGAGGGAGAGAGAGAGAGAGGGAGAGAGAGGTGGGTGGGAGGAGAGAGGAGGAGGAGGGACTGTGTTCTCTCGGCTCTATGTGTTGCAGCTCGTGGTGTCAGTGCTGCCAGTGTGCGTCTCAGCCCCGCTGGTGTGAGTGTGTGCATCGGTGCGTCGGCTGTGTGTGTGTGTGTGTGGATGTGTGTGTGACTCCAGCGCTCTCTCTGCGTACGACAGGTGGAGATGACATGACTGCGCTCGAGAGGAAGAAAGGAAAGGACCTGTAAGGACTTCACACACTCTCTCTCTCTCTCTCTCTCTCACACACACACACCTTTCATGCTGCATTCCCTCACACACACCTTTACATTCCTGTACTCCTCAGTTTGGGGGGGGGGGGGTAACTTCTTGAATATGTGCGTGCGCGCGCGTGTGTGTGATTGTATCAGCTGACTCCATGTGTGCTCAGAGTACAACTCAAAGATAAACACACAGATTGTTGCTTCTGATGCCTGCAGACGCGGTCAGCAAGTGTTCCTGCGTCCTGAGGAGAGTTCAGCTCCAGCTCTGACCAGCAGACAGTCCACCACGCTGTCCGAACAACTCCAGGTAGGATTTACTTCTCTTCTCTTCTCTTCTCTTCTCTTCTCTTCTCTTCTCT